TTCTTAGGCAACTGGTTCAGGAGTTGCTCTTTCCTTTCTTTCTTCTGTTCGCTTCTAGACTGTACTTTTTTCCAAGCTAGCGCCTTTGGTTGTTCGCTGGTCTGCACTGCCACTCCTTGTGGAGGGCTTTTCTTCGTATCCTTTTTCTTCGAGTCTCGGCTGATTGTTGGGTTAGGAGAAGGTCGATCTTTTCTCTTATCTGACTTATTGCTGGCTTCACTTTTGTCTTCCGTGACTGATTCACCGTCACCTTCAGCTCCGGTGTCCATTGTCTCGTCAGTCACGTCGACAGCCTGACAGGCTTTCTCCGGTGTAGCATGGGATATGCGCTGCAATGATGAGCGCCACTCCTCATCCATTTTCTCAAACTTTTGAAGGGCGTTAGTTACACCAGTCATTTTGGATTTAATCTCTTTGTGAATGTTGACCTTTGGTTGGACGAAATCATTCAACTCACTGATCAGCTTTTTAAGGCGTTTGAGCGCTTGCGAACGCTTCATTTCAACGCTTGCGTCAATCGCTGCTTGTTGGGCATGTAGCCCGTTTCCACTTTTGTTTGTTTCCTTTGAATTACTCATACTTTTTTGATTTACCAGCGCATCGTACGGAGTGGAGCGGGTTGCCATAACTAGGAACGGGTGTACCCTCGGAGATAATACTCCTACCCCAGTTCCCTGAGGCCTAGCCGACACTTAGCCAGTCCCGGAATACACGGACGGACTAGACTCGCTCGGGGCGGTGAAGATTCCGATCTCTGACACTCACTGCGTACTTCCTGATCAAGGCCCGAAGTGACTGGCTCCTGATACACTGCTGCAACTTACACCTCGGCAGAGCAAGCTCACATCAGCCGTGGCCTGCATCGTCGGAAACTACGATACAGGTTCCGAACACTCCCAGTGAGTTACAGCAGGGACCGATCGTGTTGTTAGGTCAGTTAGTGTGACCAACCCATTAAAGGGGAGTTTTGTCCACGGGAGCGTATTTTGTTTGGTTATTTTGCTTGGCTCCTACCCGCTGTACCTCATCAACTGAGAGATTATCCAAGTGTCATCCAAGGACAGCGAGTGTCAACCCATCCGCTACGGGGAGACGCGCCTGGTAGCAGTTTCTCCTCTGCCGCAGGTGTGTGTGTGTGTGTGTGTGTGTGTGTGTGTGTGTAAACCTCCTATAACTTTTGAACGGTTTGACCTAATAACTCCACAATTTTTTCTTTTTGCTCCGTGGTTAATTTTCTGCTTCGTGGATAGTGTTGAAAAAGATTTTCACTTCTATCGTGATTGTGATTTATGTTAACTGATTTAATGTCAAGATAGTGACAGTATCACCCACTCTGACGCTGAAAGCTGCTGAACAGTTTTTCTGGAACGTGAACACTTTTCTTGCTCCTTTCGAATTCGATTTAAAATTTTTTCCTCCATGAATACATTAATATTGGATGCTGTAATATATCAGGGACTCTTCAACATGTCTCTTGATTCCTTTTGTGCGACATCGTTCAATTGTCATAGCATCTAGATGATAAAAAACGCGTACCCTTTTTCTTCGAAATTTTTTACTTTCTTCTCTAACTTTTCAAAAGAATCAAATTTGTCACCTTCCTTCAATAAATTTTCATCCATGACTTTGTCATTCTCATCAGCACCATCATCTGAATTAACAACTTCATTCGCGTCTTCTCTGTTTTGGTCTTTCTCTTTGCCTTCATCGTTTTCATATTCTTTTTCGGAATCTGAAGAATATATCATCAGTATTAAAAATAAAAAAAAATTAGGAAAACGGTTGACCCTAAAGGCCACCTCTGCAACTTCCCGCCAATTCCATATCTAAATGCTTGAAATTGCACTTATGACGTTTCTGAGCTCTTCGAGCTCAAAAATACAATTCGCGTGTTATTTTGAGCTCTCTGAGCTCAAAGAAATAGCTTTTGTATGCTTTTGAGCTCTTCGAGCTCAAAAAGCTGATCAAAGTTTAATAAAACTGTTAGAATTAGGTAGGGCCTTTTAAATAAGCAATACCAAATAATAGTTAAGAGTATTTATTAATATGTGCATCCGCACGTTACCAAAACTCAATCGGAAGTAAGTGGTGGTACAGTTCTCAAATCTCAACTCAAGCAGGGATCATGACATCACATGACCTCCCCACTACTCATGGGGTAAGACGGTTAGGCGTTACTTCCAACACTCCCTCCCGTCTAGCCGTCTTTCACCATTTTACAATGAATTATATAAAATATATAGATTTTCTTAATATATAAAAGTTACATATCTCTGGCTACTAATAATGATAATAATTGTTCAATTAATATTACTAAGGCGGAATAATACAATGGCAATCCGGTGAGTCTTTGAGTTTATTTTCCTGAAACAGAATAGTTAATTATTTAACATTGATCTATTTTAGCATTCATTAATTTATCAGTCAAGTATTTATGTAGGTCAAACGCAAGAGCTTTTGTGAATACATCAGCAATCTGATTCTTTGACGGGATCCATTCAACATCAACAAAATTTCGCGCATTCTTTATTACACATTCTTTTACATAATGTTCTCTTATCTCTGTCATATGTCTTAATTTTTTACTCCTACTAGTTTTTGCACACGACGCGGCAGCTTTATTGTCACACCACGATTTTATGGGATAAAATACTCTGTCCAAAATTAATTTAAGTGAATTACTTATAGCTATCAATTCCTGACACGCCTCACTCATTGCTACATACTCTGCTTGACACGTAGACAGTGCTACCTATGGTTGTTTATGAGTCCGCCAAGTGAGTGTATCACCAAACGATTTTATGACATACCCACAAGTTATTTGAGATTCTTTACAATCTGCTAAGCTCGCATCAGAGTATGCTTGTATATCATTTCGCTCACCAGTGTACCTTAATCCTAAGGTTCTGGTTCTTTTCAAATATCTGAACACTCTTTCAACCATACGCCAATCGCTTTTAATTGGATTAATTTGATGTCTACTTAATACATTAACCGCATAGGATATATCTGGTCAAGTTGCCTCGGCCAAATATAGCAAACTACCGATCGCTTCTCTGTAAGGAACATTTTCAATTATTTCAGTAGTAATTAACACATCATCATTTATATTTTCTTCTCTCAGCTTTCTTTCTCTATCAATTACCTGAGTGGTGACCATAGGCGTTCTCTGTGGACTCATATCACTAAAATTAAATTTTTCTAAGATTCTACTTATATATTTTTCCTGACTAAGAATGATTTCTCGATTTTGTCTATCTCGATGTAATGAAATTCCCAGAAATTCTTTTGGTTCACCCAAATCACTCATCTCAAATTCCTTTTTAAGTTTTAATTTTACCTCAACTATTTTAGATTTGTCGTTAGAAGCTAAGATAATATCATCAACGTATAGTATTAAAATAAGAATCTTTCCATTTTCACTCCAAATAAATAAACATGGCTCAATTTCATGATTTTTTAATCCTACACATCAGTAAATCTCTTATTCCATTTTTTAAGACTAATCTGTAAATCATACAGAGCTCGTTCTAATTTACACACCATAGTTTCCCTAATTTCTTGTGTAACATTCATATCTTCTGGGATTTCCATATAAATTTCCTCATCTATAATGCCATTTAAAAATGCAGTTTTTACATCAAGATAACAAGTCTCTAAATCATATTTATTAATTATAGCAAAAGCAGATCTAATCAAGGACAATCGAGAATCCTTATTCTTGGGAGGACAAGGAGAATCAAATTTCCGCGGCATCTTCTCCCAGGCCGGTCGCTATGGCTAGCGCCGCTAGAGTCCGCCACGTGCTGGGCACCAGCCCAGCTGGTCCCAGTACTGGCAGTTAAAATTATTATTATGATTAAAATTTTTACTATGATTTAAATTAAATTAGTAGTTAGATGTTAAGAATTTAATTTTAGTTTGATTTTATAATTAAGAGGATCAATTATTGAAATGTCAACCGCTGACGTTGAGATTTATTACTTATTAATGAAAAATATCTACAGAGAATATTTGGTAGCCGCGGAGCGCGCATGCGCGGAGCTACGATTCTGGATTTTGGTGTTTTACTTTTATAATTTATTTAATGTGTAAAATTTTTATTAAGGAGATATAAAATATAAATTAATTATAGGAAATTATATTATGATTTTTATTGAATATGTCCGTCGTCGATTGGTCCGTCGTCGAGGGAATCGCAGAATTAAGCGTATAAAAGTCAATGTTTTGACTAGCCTCGTGGCGTAATAACACGGGCAAGGTGGTGGGCCGCGAGGGGGGAAGGCATTCTGGCGGTAGCACGTGTTGCAAGCACTGTGGTTTTTTTTTACTTGGATTTAAATTAATTAAATTTATCAAACTTTGTGATCACGAGTGGTGATATAATTAAAAAATATAGTGCCAATACTCTGGTAATTTTGCAACGGCTCACCCCTCCCGTGTGAGCTGTAATTTGGGTAAGTCCTAGCATTGTTTGATCTGCTTTTCCTCGGTGGTCGTACCGGCATCAGCGACGACGGTGAGGTTGTGTTGGTGTCTCGACACATGGTCGAGCCCACTAAATTCTGATTATTACTCAGTTGAATTACTTGAAATTGCACATTAAATAAATGTTTACATTGACATTATTATTTCGTTTATATTTTACTCACCGGCGACGGCGTTGACGCCATTTATAGATTTGATATAAACATTGCTAATTTTCTTTGGTGTATATAAAAATATATATGTCGTAGTCTTTTCGCAAAATTCGTCATTCCATGAAAAACCTAGGCACTTTGTGAAGAAGGTATTATAAGCGGGGAGGCAGAGGGGTGTCGTGAGCGACGAGAGATGGGAATCATCGACGGACCAAGCGAGCCACCGCTACCGTGACCGCGTCAACTGCTCATGCAGTGACAATTTATTTATTTAAGTTTAACTCTCCCCTACTAGAAACTGCAGAAATTGTCATCTGGAAGAGCGAGAAACGATCAACCATGTTGTACTTAGATGCCCTTTCTATGCAAACGTTCGTCTCCAACACTTCAACATAGAGGATGTGGAGCCTGTCGCCGAAGTACTGTCTTGCCTCGAAACGATGAACCTGGACCAGCTCAAAAAATTGTTCTTCTTCTTCAAAGACATTTTTACTTCCACAAACCTATGTGATAACTTAATGAAAGTATGAGGCCGTGTACTTGCTTATTTTCCTGCAAATGATGTGAAATTTTTGTAAATAATTCTCCGATAGTTTTTTAATATGTATATATATATATAGTAACTTTTATTTATTTATGGAATAATTTGTATTGAAGATTGAATCCTGTTAAACGCAATAAAGATTTATTATATTTAAGTTTATCCTTTTTTCCTATGAGCTTAATTATTTTGTTTATTGTTAATTATTATTATTGATTATTATAATTTGTTATCAGTTATTAATATTTATTTACAACGTCGTCTAAAAGTTAGTTCGCCATCTCGCGATAGATGGCGTCGACTGTTCGCTCGCGATAAAAATCGCCGAGCTGATATAAGCGAAACCGCGACGTGATAATTTTTGTTCTTTCAAAGAACAAAAATTTACTATATCTGAAATAATTAATTGATTAGAATATTTTGAATAAATTCGAAATATCCAATTAATTATTTTCCTAAGTCCCAGAAATTAAATTAGTATGGGAAATAATTTTTGTAAAATAATTATTTTGTTTTAAAATTATTTTTTCTAAGTTCTGACGTGAAATTGTATGGAAATGTAATTTGATGAAATTGATGTAATCTGACGAATTGTTTGAATGAATCTGATATTTAATTTTAAAGATTTAAATTAAAAACTTATAAATTTTCGGGGATTTCCCGTAGTTCGACGGCGAGTGATAGGTGGCGATAATTCACCAATACTTTTCGCTGTTATTAATAATTTTTGGGTTGATAAAGCCCAAAAATTATTCACCGTTGAGCAACCTTTCTCTGGGTTTAATTTACTTGACTGGAGACTTCTGGCCAAGGAAATTAAAGAGAGTTCTCTCTACCTGGTGCGGACTACCACAGGTAAGTGAACTTATCTACCTACGAGTAAATGCGACTCTTCACCTGGAGGCCTTCAGCCAAAAGGTGGCAACCCCAGCCGAGTAGGTGAGTGAGAGGTGGATTCTATCCACTCTTCCTTTAGGTATCGCGGATAGGGCCTGCGGGGCGGCGCTAGTCACCCGTCAGGAGCTGGGCACCAGAGGGCCGACGGAAGGGAATTAGCGACGCGATTTTGTAAGCGACGGGAGTATGATATTACCGACGACGGTAATGGAAATTGTAAACGCCGTGTATGTATGGGTTTAATTTGATTATTCGCCGTTTTTCTTTGTATAATGTTTAATGTTTTGGTTTATTGAAATAAAGAGGTTTTGTTTTGTTAATATTAATTAAATATCTAGTTTGATTAATTTAAAAATTACCCTCGTTAGAATCCTGGACTCCGGCGAGCTTAAAATCGAGCCAGGGGTGAAAATTGGTCAAAAAGTACCCGTTACAACTTCCAGAAATGCCGACGTTTTGTGAAAAATTATAATTTTCATCAAATGACCACTCGACTCTGGCATATCGTGGTAAAACCAAGTTACACAATCGGGCGCAGATTATAGTTTAATGTTTCGTGTAATGCCTGTAAAGCGTCAAATGTAATGTAATTAAAAAATACATTGATTAAAAAACAACTTCTTTTATTCTTGTTGGAAGTAACGCCTAACCGTCTTACCCCATGAGTAGTGGGGAGGTCATGTGATGTCATGATCCCTGCTTGAGATGAGATTTGAGAACTGTACCACCACTTACTGCTGATTAAGTTTTGGTAACGTGCGGATGCACATATTAATAAATACTCTTAACTATTAATTGGTATTGTTTATTTAAAAGGCCCTACCTAATTCTAACAGGTTATGAGCCGTACACGTGTCCACTGCGCAAAATTAATAAATTAAAACTTTCAAAATTTTAAGCAATAAATAATTATTACGTTTAATAAGAAACTTTGAAGTTCTCGAGAACATAAGTGACTAACGTGAGGTGAATTGTTTAAGTGAAAATTTTATACTTATGTATAAATATAAATTAAAGTTGTATAGAGTTACAATTTTAATAGTGTGCACACAAATAAATGAAAATATTAATAGCTATATATTTATCTGCAGAAATTTGAGACGAGGAATTATTTAAGAAATTCTTGGAAAGATACAGAAAAGTTTTTCAATTTGAACAAAACCATCCTAGAGAGGAAATATCACTAAGTATTAGTGGTGAGAGAGTGTTATTTCATGTTGAGACGCACGAGGTACCTTATCAAGCAGGTTGGTTGAAAATCATAAATTTTATGTACATAAAAATATTGAGAATTAATCCAATTATTTGGATTTTCTCACTTAAGGTCATCTAATTCAAAATAAATTTTTGACAATAATGAATAATAATTAACTTGTATGTTCAAAAATAAATACAAGGTTTTACTTTGTGATTCATGCTTAGTGATGAATGCTGTGCATTCATTTACTTCTTGAATTACTGAAGTGGTTGTATGTATGATCTTGTGTTCGGATTATATATATTACTGCTTGCATTAACCTGGCCATACTTGTTGTTCAGTCAACCAGGCTTAAGGCATAGCTCCTGGTATAAGAATATTATTAATTAATAATTAATTCGTTTAACAGATAAAAGCAATATGAACGAGGACGAGTGGAGAGCCGCTATTAAGTGGATTGAGAAACAAGAAGGAGATGGTCCGTGGGTAGTCTCACCAGAAGATGATGACCAAAAATCTGTGTCTCAGGAAGATGAGGAAACATTATTAAGAGATGCGATTGAGAGTGGAAATGAGGCCGAGAGAGAGAGAGATGCGAGAAAAAGAGATGTGACAAAGAAAGTACTCTGTTGAACAAAGCAGACTTATCCCAAGGAGGTAAATCTTTACTATCAATTAAATTTATAGAATCAGTTAATCTTAATTATAAAATTAAATCAAAACATTTTTCCGTTTCTAATATAGTTGCAAAAAATAATGAAATTGAAGCGCTACCTGGTACTGCTTCACAAGTTGTGGAGAGTAACACTAATAAAGACGAAGTGTTATCTCTGGTGAGGCAATTTTGCGAATCCTCTACCAATATGATGAAGCAATGCCAGGAATCTCTGTTAGGTGCTCAGGCAGCTGTTGCTAAAATGGCAAAAATTCAAGGTTTGATTATTGACGAGTTCAATAAACAAAAAGATGTTTTTGCTAAGCAAACAAAAACCCTTGAAGACAAAAATAATGAGATCCGTAAGCAAATAAAAGATGTGAATAATGAATGCAGTAAAATGCATGAGCATTATCAAAAATTAGTTGATAGAGATGAGAGCAGATCGAACGGTGGTACTTCTAGTAGTGAACTTGGAGAATTGAAAAATCAAGTTTCTAAATTAGTACAACAAGAGTTTAAAAAGTTAAAAGTAGACAGAAGTGTAAGCATATTTCAAAATTCTGACAGTTTAGCAAATAAAATTAAAGAAACATTAAAAGTAGAAATTATTAGTAAAGATGGGGGTATGAAACGAGATTATAAACTTACACCAAATACAAAGTTTGAACATTTTTATGATCTTTTTACATCGGAATTAAGAGCTCATGAATTACTGTATGTAATTGATCCGACTAGCGCTCCGCGTAGAGATCTTGATACTGATATTATTGAAAAACATAAATTCAAAGTTCGAGACATTTTAATTAATCATTTAGATCATAAGTATACTCAGAAGACTATTGCATAATATGCAATATTATCCAAATAAAGAAAAAGCTTCAGATTTTATTGAAAAATTTAAAGATGTTGTTAGAAATTACGGAAATTTGTCTGGTATTAAGCCACTGTCAGAACTTGAAAAGAAAGACGCATTTTATAGTGCTATTATGACCACCGTTCCTGATGTTCAATCAGTTGAATTCATGACAATGTCTTCGACTGGTCAAGGGCTTAGTTATGAAAAATTAAAACTTTTCATATTACAAGCAGAAGCTAATAAAAACCATGCAACAGCGTCTGAGACCACAGGAACTGTAATGCAAGCTCATCAAGGACGTGATTGCTTAGACAGATGTTATGAGTGTGATGATCTGGGTCATATAGCAATTCATTGTCCATGGAGAGGGACAGGACTGAAAAAATGTTATGGGTGTGGGCAAGTGACCAACCATAAAGCAGCCGACTGTCCTTTGAAGAAAACAAAACAATCCCATGGTGAAAGAGGTAGAGGGTGTAGCCGTGGTTTCGCCAGATTAAAAGTAGGAATTATTAGTAAAGATGGGGGTGTGAAACGAGATTATAAACTTACACCAAATACAAAGTTTGAACATTTTTATGATCTTTTTACATCGGAATTAAGAGCTCATGAATTACTGTATGTAATTGATCCGACTAGCGCTCCGCGTAGAGATCTTGATACTGATATTATTGAAAAACATAAATTCAAAGTTCGAGACATTTTAATTAATCATTTAGATCATAAGTATCATTCTCAAGTTATTGGAATAAAAGATCCGGTAAAACTTTTAAATACAATTAAAGACCTTAAGAAAACCTGAAAGTAATAATTCTTCAAGTACACTCAGAAGACTATTGCATCATATGCAATATTATCCAAATAAAGAAAAAGCTTCAGATTTTATTGAAAAATTTGAAGATGTCGTTAGAAATTACGGAAATTTGTCTGGTATTAAGCCACTGTCAGAACTTGAAAAGAAAGACGCCTTTTATGTGCTATTATGACCACCGTTCCTGATGTTCAATCAGTTGAATTCATGACAATGTCTTCGACTGGTCAAGGGCTTAGTTATGAAAAATTAAAACTTTTCATATTACAAGCAGAAGCTAATAAAAACCATGCAACAGCGTCTGAGACCACAGGAACTGTAATGCAAGCTTATCAAGGACGTGATTGCTTAGACAGATGTTATGAGTGTGATGATCTGGGTCATATAGCAATTCATTGTCCATAGAGAGGGACAGGACTAAAAAAATGTTATGGGTGTGGGCAAGTGACCAACCATAAAGCAATCGACTGTCCTTTGAAGAAAACAAAACAATCCCATGGTGAAAGAGGTAGAGGGTGTAGCCGTGGTTTCGCCAGAGGACATTCTAACGCTATGAAAAGGTCGAAAGCTTTCCAAAATACTGGAAGACAAAATTGGAAACGGAAGAATAATAATGAGAGAGGCGGAGATGCGAAAAGATTCAAATCCAATCGAGGAAGAGGAGGTTATAAAAATTTCCGAAATAATGATAAGAGGATTCAACAGAAGTCAAAGGAGAAAGACGTAGGTGCGAATTTCACTGAAACTAAACAAGATAAAGATAAGAAGTCTTTTGAGAATCTTCCAACTAATCACAGTCAGTATTATTTACAACAGTCCGATCTTGATGATAACAGTTGCAAATTTAAAAATGTTTCTGAGCAAAGTAAAATATTTACAAAATTTCTTGCTGATTCGGGTGCAACAGAACATTTAACTAATAGTAAAATAATATTTAAATCCTTTGATGGATCACGGTAAAATTAGATGCGCTAATAAAAACGAATCCGCAGATTTGAGAACGGAGGGAGCGGGTAAAGTCGAGTTCTTATTAAATAATAATAAATCGATCGAAGTAGAAAATGTTATATATGCAGAAGCTTTGTCCGAAAATTTATTATCACTTAGAAAATTTGCAGAAATGGGAATTAGTATTTATCTAGACAGTAAAGAAATTGACATTTTTGATCCTGTTTCAAATGAATCATTTATTACTGAAGTTTATAACAAACCTTATAGGATAATAGGATTTGAAATTAATAATAGTCAGATTAATGATGAGAATAGCTTTATAAATAGAAAAATAATTGCAAATCTAACTTTAGATAGATCGGATGGTTGTAATGAAATAAGATATAAGACGAGGAGTGTGACTGCGAAAGAAATTTTAGAGAAGAGTGAAAATTAAAACGTAGTCGAACAGGTACGAGATGAGGTTAAAAACGATATTGATTCTAGTGGTGATAATGATTGTAATGATAATGAAAGAGATGAGTTACCAGTACAAAGGTTACATGTAGATAATGATGACTTGGTTGTAGAATCTGAAAAAGTAAAATCCATAGTAGAGAGTGAAAATAAATTTGTTTATGAAAATTCAAACTTTGACACGTCTATCTGGGATAGAAAATTTCATGATATAGATGAATTACCTACTGTTGAATTATCAGAGAAAGAGTCTCCATTCGATGAAAATTACAAAAGTTTTGCTAAAAATAAAAAAGCTATGCTTTGGCATGTAAGGTTGGGTCATGCGTCTATTAGTTATTTAAAAGCTCTTCAGAGTAAATTTCCAGAAAATGCAAATCTTAGAACCGTGATTTTCAATGATACTATTTTAGATTGCGAAGTATGTATCATTGCGAAATTCAATAAAAAAACCATTCAACTCAACGCGTCGACGGGCAACTGAACCTCTTCAAATAATTCATTCTGATAATATGGGGCCTATAAGTCCAATATCTCATTCAAAAGGATATAAATTCATATCAGTTTTTGTAGATGATTATTCTAGACTAGCAATGGCATATCCAATGAAAGCAAAAAGTGAAACGGGTCACTGTTTTGAGGCGTTTGTAAGAAGCGCAAGAAATTTGTTAGGTAGAGATGCAAAAGTATGCTATTTACGTACAGATCAGGGTACTAAGTATACAGGGGGATACACGCTCAAGGTGTTAAAAACTCTAAGGGCAGAACAACAATTAGCAAGTCCTGATACACCTGAACACAACGGGGTAGCCGAAAGGTTCAATCAAACGATACAAAAGAAAGTAAGAGCCTACATGTATGATGCGAAATTACCTGAAAATATGTGGGATCTTGCTTTAAGTGCTGCTGTATATGCTTACAACCGAACGCCTCACAAGTCTAACGATATGATAACACCTTTTCAAAGGTTTGCACCGAATCACAATTTTGACATTAATCAATTGAGACGTTTTGGTTGCGTAGCATATATTAAAGTACAAAGAAAAACTGGTCCTAAGTTTAGGTTCGAAGGGAGACGCGTAATTTTGGTAGGATATACACCTACTGGGTATCAGTTCCTGAAACCAGAAGAAGGGAAATTTTATGAAAGTAGAGATGCTCGTTTTAATGAAAAACTGGTGTATGGTGATAAGTATGATAAAAATGGTGTGAAAGATTGGCCGGTTGAAAAATTGTCAGTTAATAAAGAGAAGTGGTTTGTTGAATTTAATAAAGATGAGTTAGAATTTTTAAAACCGGAGGGAGAGACGAAAAGAAAGAGAGGACGACCGAAGAAACAGCAAAATTGTTTAACAGATGCGAAAATTAATAACGGGAACTCAATTAAAGATAATAGTTGTTCGGAAATAATTGATGTAAACGATAAAATTGATGCTAACTTAGTTTTCGGTGAGAGAATAGATTGTGAGACAAGTGAAATCCAGGATAAAATTTGTCATGCAATGTTAGCGGGTATTCAACAAGATCCAATATCTTTTAAAGATGCTATCGAATCAAAAGAACGGGAATTTTGATAAAATGCTGTGAGAGATGAGCTTAATTCTATAAATAAAAATAGTGTGTGGACATTAGTTGACCGACCTATTAAAATGAAAAACGGTAAAAGATTAAATATCATAGACTCTAGGTGGGTTTTCAAAAAGAAAATTGAAAATGACAATCAATTTAAATACAAAGCGCGATTAGTGATTCGAGGTTTTAAAGATAATAATAATTATGATCTCAGAGAAACCTATGCCCCTGTATCTCGTTTGCCCTTGATTAGATCTGCTTTTGCTATAATTAATAAATATGATTTAGAGACTTGTTATCTTGATGTAAAAACTGCATTTTTAAATGGCATTATAGATGAGGAAATTTATATGGAAATCCCAGAAGGTGTGAATGTTACACAAGAAATTAGGGAAACTATGGTGTGTAATTTAGAACGAGCTCTGTATGGTTTACGAATTAGTCCTAAAAAATGGAATGAGAGATTTACTGATGTGGCATTGAGTGTAGGATTAAAAAATCATGAAATTGAGCCATGTTTATTTATTTGGAGTGAAAATGGAAAGATTCTTATTTTAATACTATACGTTGATGATATTATCTTAGCTTCTAACGACAAATCTAAAATGGTTGAGGTAAAATTAAAACTTAAAAAGGAATTTGAGATGAGTGATTTGGGTGAACCAAAAGAATTTCTGGGAATTTCAATACATCGAGATAGACAAAGTCGAGAAATCATTCTTAGTCAGGAGAAGTATATAAGTAGAATCTTAGAAAAATTTAATTTTAGTGATATGAGTCCACAGAGAACGCCTATGGTTACCACTCAGGTAATTAATAGAGAAAGAAAGCTGAGAGAAGAAAATATAAATGATGATGTGTTAATTACTACTGAAATAATTGAAAATGTTCCT